TWSWWTRTRTAYGTCTTACAGCAACATGGAAGATGAAACCAACATGATACTATTATAATAATTATGGTAGTTATTAATATCACGAAGACCTTACCCGATGTCTGCACCTCCACATACCATGGAGCAGACTTCAGGGGGCATGTTATTTGCTCTCAAAACATCTTCAAGAATCCTGTATCAAAAAAGACAACGAGATTATCAAATGGAAAACTGTTTAATAAAACATTAATTTATTATATAATATATCTATTAAGCAACATACTTTGTCACAGCAACTGTGATCAGTGGTGTGGATGGTGCTCCTTTCCTGTAAATGATAAATGGATTACAAAAACAAATATAACAAATTTTGATTAATAAAAACAATTATCATTGTGTCCTGACAAACAGATCTCTACATAACTACTAAACAGTTGAACATTGCCTAGGTTTACAAGTAGATTTTCAAATAGTCTGTCTTAGTCTCTTCACAGTAACTTTGATTGAATAACACATTATACCATATACAATACAATACATATGTTTATTGTATAAGTTATCCTACATTAGTAGTGTGATTATTCAATTACCAAATATTCACATTTCCACAGATCATACTGATTGCACTGTTCCAGCCATAAACAGCAACAGGGAAGTTGAATGCAGTGATGACTCCCAGAACTCCAAGTGGATTCCAGTTCTCAAGAAGAGCATGGCCGGGACCTTGAACAAAAGAGGCATAAATAAGTACAAATACCACACAAAGCTCATTGATTTCCTGTGTCCTTTGACTGTAGAGTATTGAAGTTTTTTAAGGAAATTCTTGATGCCTGTTAATTTTGATGTGGCTGCTTGAAAAAGCAAAGAAAGATATCCATTCTACTAGATTAAGTTGTTACTTGCTTACGTTCTGATGGCAGAACTTTCCCTCCAACCATTCTTGATAAACCAACGGCAAAATCACAAATATCAATATATTCTTGAATTTCTCCAACTGCTTCTGGAAAGATCTTGCCAACCTCCAAAGTGAGCTGGAAAAAAAAATTATTTTTAAAAGTTAATAATTACTTCTCAGAGTATCACCATGTCCCAAACACAGAGTGCTACATGTATAGACTTCTAATATTGGAAACTCACCAATTTACCCAAGGGGTTGATGTGTTCCCTCAGTGCAAGACTGACTTGCCGCACAATCTCTCCCCTCTTAGGAGCTGGAACCTAGTTGCATAAATTATAGATGAAGCATATTTGATTCTTAAAGTTTAAACCTAATTAGCAGCTTAGCTAAATTCTGGTTGGTTGGTTTTGCATCAAAGGTGTTATATTATAATCAACTTCAATACATAATTACCATTGACCATGTTTTCCATGCTTCCTTTGCCTTCTCGACTGTTGTCTTGTAATCCTCTAGAGATCCCTACCAAGAAAACATACAGCATCGAGGTCATTCACTGCTTCTAGTAATATTTTCTACTGACGAAAGATGCTGAGACTGAATATGTTGACTAGCCCCTTAAAATAAGTGATAGAAATTACATATTTTTAAATCAACTTGTTTMCCAGAAGTCTTTTCTAGAACCCTAAGTAGGTCATGTATCTGAACATCTGAGCGACAAATWTTATTAGTAAGCTTAGCTTATTAGTTGGGCTAGTCGTAGGTGATGCCCGAGTTTAGTTCTACCTTTTCTTCAATCTATCTATCTATTTTTCTATCGATCTATCTGTCAACATCGTGTATAGTCAGTCCCCCTTGATGCTGTGTATAATCTCCCATGATGCTTTACGATCTATACCCCAGAGAACCCTAAATATGATGCTTTTGATAATCATCTAGCCAGAACTCATTGCTATGTTAATAAATGTGGTTTCAACCAATCAACACCTTGCAAATTCAAGGGAATAATCATTTTATCACAACACAATTCGTTTTATCACAACACGCACAATGGTACAGCGGATTTCGTATGACCGTGCAAAAAACACGGTACTTTTCGCGTTGTGTATTTTTGTTTGGAACCCTAGAAGGCGAGGTTCCGTGACCGTGCCGTGCCCATGCCGTTGCAGTCATACGAAATCCGCTCTATTGAGCTAGCTAGCCAGACGTCACGCTACGTTGGCGTCTAATTAAAATTTATAGACTGACTCACCGTTCTCACWCGAGCAATTGGTTGTCCATTTGCAGGGCAGTAGGATGTGATAATCTTCAAAAATTATATATAACACAAATTTAAGAAATCAATTATATACGACGCAATCGTATAAGACTTAGTCATTATTAAGATACAAACCTCTCCGCTACCACCCCATGATCCGTTGAATACTCCATCATTCTCCTCTCCTAGTCCGAGGTCCTTAATGAAGGAGTATTTCTCTTGATTTATAAGATAATCTCCACTGGATAGGTAGGCTCTCGGTGCAATACCAAGAATGGAGCGATTACGAAGGAAACGAGTAAAATTTCGAGCAGAGCAAAGAGCCATTTTATCTTAGTTTTTAGAAGACTACCTTCACGTGCACTCACGCACCAATAATTTCGGACAGTGCGCCAAAAGCCAAAGCCCCCTAAGACCTCTGGGATTCCATTTGTTTGAAGARTGAAAAATCGAACATTTTCAAACTTGAAAATGCGGAACAAAGAGCCTGAATCGGATAATTCCAAAATTCTTTAGAAAAATGTTTAAAATGTTTGAAACAAATTTAACAATTTTTGAAAATAATCTACAATTTAGTGGGTTTCCTGTGGATAGGGGTGTTCTGAGGCAACCTCGTTCCCAGGGCTACTCTGCTCGCTTTTTTCAAAATCTCTGGGCGCAGAGTAGCCCTGGGAACGAGGTTGGTTCTGAGGGTGTGATTTTGAATACTACCTTCTGATTGGATAGTTTCTAGGTTCCATATATCAATAGCTATTTCAGCCCAKTCCTATAAGCCACGTTGTCATCACAGTGATCAAACGTTCTATACACTAAAGTTGAAAGTGTTCATAATATTTTTCCAAGGTACAAATGTTGTGCAACATTTAGCAGWCAAGAAGCTTTGCCATTTTTGTAGCTACTAGGAGTTTCTACAAATCAAACAGCTGTTGTTTGATCCGTCTTCATTGAAGCGTGATAAGCTTATAACATTCCGATTCAATTTGTCTTCTTTAGGCTMCAAAATGGTTGATACAAACAGTATGACTYTGACGCGATTCGTGTTGAGCGAACAACGTAAGATTCCTGGTGCTACAGGAGACCTAACACAGCTGTTAAATGCGATCCAAACAGCAGTTAAAGCMACTTCCTCRGCTGTGAGAAAAGCAGGAATTGCTCAATTGTAAGTATTGATATTAGTATAATATTCATTGATGTTTAAATAATGCTTATTATTTTGATTTATATTTTGTTAAGTGTTTCATAAGCTGTCCATATGGTTGTTTGCCGCCACGCAGTCTATCGTGGTATCAATATTATGAGGTCCAAAGGTCTCATGGACAAATTCCCCACCCCTCCCTGGACAGATTACACTTTTCACATGCTAGTTCTGACTCTTATTTTGACCAGTCTTGTAACAATATGCAAGCAGCGATTGCAATGTAAATATTTCCAAGAAAAAAATCCTAGACCTAGAGCAATACAATGGAAATAAACCAAAAATGAAAGTTTACATGTATACCCCAAATGCTTCTTCCCCAACAGACAACTAACTGATCATGAATAGATACTAAAAATTGCTGAAACGCTACCTGTTTGTTTAGCCTCATGAAATGTCATTATTAATAGATATGGAATTGCTGGTGATACCAATATTTCTGGCGATCAGCAGCAGAAACTAGACGTCATGGCAAATGAGCTGTTTATCAACATGTTACGGTCATCRTATACAACTTGTCTACTAGTATCTGAGGAAAATGAGACTGTCATTGAGGTTGAAACTGAAAAACAAGGCAAATATGTRGTTCTGTTTGATCCTTTGGATGGYTCATCAAATATYGACTGTTTAGCATCAATTGGTAGCATTTTTGGAATCACAAGAAAGGTAAACACTCATGAAATACTCTTTATTTTAAGACTATATAGTAGCYACTTGTCTACATATAATAATAGTTGACATGCAAATTATTAGCCTAAAATTCTAAATCTTCAACCATCAATTTTTGACGGTGAATAAAATATTTTGTTTAGCTTGAGGGRCCTGGTAATCCATCSCAAAAGGATGGCCTTCAACCAGGAAATGCRATGGTWGCTGCTGGATATGCCTTATATGGCAGTGCTACRGTTATAGTGTTATCAACTGGAAATGGTGTCAATTGTTTCACTCTTGATCCTGTAAGTATTAAGTTGTAAACATAGTATATGCTGGAAGTGCAATTATACTAAATTCTTCCTGGCTCATAAAATGAAATTCTCTGATTGATTATCATTATACTTACCAGAGGTTATGTTTGTAAACAGTACTTATTCCTTGCGTTTTCAAATTCATAAAAATAATATCTAATGTACTTTATAATCATTTTCTGTGTTTTTGTTTTTAGTCAATAGGAGAATTTGTGTTGACAAACCCCAATATCAGAATGAARCCAAGAGGAAAGTTAATTTACAGTGTTAATGAAGGCAATGCTGCTTACTTTGATGAACCAATGAAGAAGTTCTTGCAAATCATCAAGAACCCAACTGTAAGTGTGAGCACTGGAACATAKTAACTTATGACTAGAGTCAAGGCATAGTTTAACTCTTAGGGTTTGTCACTAAGAGCAGTTTTGACTTGAAAGCTGCAGTTTGACACCAAATAGTAATTCACTCACTTTAAATTCATTTGCTAATGTGCTGTAGGATACAAGAGGCCCATATGCAGCTCGTTATGTGGGTTCTATGGTGTCAGATTTGCATAGAACACTGGTATATGGTGGAATCTTTATGTACCCTGGGACTACAAAGGCACCCAAAGGAAAGGTAATAAGAATGAAATGATATATCATATGTAACCACGGTAACCATCTGCTCTGCAGTTAACCGATGGTGATGATGATAATAGTCTCCTTCATGATTCCCCGTGCTATCTTGAAAGGTAGCAGTGCCCTGACATCGAAGCGAGACAAGGGAGTCATTGAACGTGCAATGATAGACACCTGTGAATAATATTGCCTGTAGGTTTTGAAAGCAGGTTTTTATCATTGCATGCTCAAAGGTTGTCTCACTTCTATACAAAGGCACAGCTACCTTTCAAGATGGTGCAGGTAACCGTGAAGAAGACTATTGTGCAAAAAGTCAGTGCTGTTGAGACTACAGTGATAACCTTGTAGCTGCATAAGAAAGGTGTTCCTTTCTACTAAACAATACACTTTTTGGATGTACAGTGAACAGTCTGTTTTCTTAATCTATTCTAGCTTCGTCTGCTCTACGAGTGCAACCCAATGGCATTTATCATTATACACGCTGGTGGTCTGGCAACAGATGGAACACAGAACATACTAGATGTAGTACCTACCTCKCTGCACCAGAGATCACCTATTTTTATTGGATCAGCAGAAGATGTTAAAGACTACCTCAAATGTGTTGAAGAATGCAAAAAATAGGCACTGAACTTTACTGAAATTT